GAAATTCTCACGCTTTTGCTTTGCTTTTTTTTTTTTTTTTTTTTTAAATTTTTTTTTTTTTTTTTTTTTTTTTTTTTTTTTTTTTTTTTTTCTATTTTTTTTAAAACTGGATTGTATAAAATCGGTCACTACGTTTATCTATTAATGAGAATGCCTAGGTCTTCATTTACATCTACACAACTATTATAAGAATTTGTAATTTATGTATTCTTTTTAACATTATATTTTTCAGCTTTCCTCGCACAAAAACTTATGTTAACATTTTTCACTCCATGTTTTGGTCATGAAAAACGAAAAATTTCAAAAAAAAAATAATTCATTGCTTTATGACGTCATCTATCTCTGTGAACGGCTTTCCAAACACACTTCCCCCCCTCCCCAACCAACGCCACTCCCCCCGGCTCAAATTGGTAACGTGTACGGGGAGTTTATTTCAAGAAATTGAGAAACGTCTACTGCAAAGAGACACATGTGGGTCCTTAATTGGATGGGGCAATTTCTCCCTGCGTCAAACGTAAGGTCTTTTCTGTATTCCTATAATTAAATAATCCTGGAAATTAATTTGGGCTATTTTCAAAATAACAAAATAAATCACGTCAACTCAATGGCTGGAATTGTTATTATTTATTTTGTTATAACATTAGGTCTTGAACAAAGATATTCTGCCAGGGAAATCCCATGGGTAAGACACGTTGGGAACAGAGATAACATGAAAATAGTGGGTTTACAAAAAAAAAAAAAAAAAAAAAAAAATAAAAAAAATGTATAAAAAAAAAAAAAAAAAAAAAAAAAAGATAATTACGGTATTATTTCCAGAAATAGATATCGCGAAATGTTAATTTTTTTTAATTTTTTTTTTTTTTTAACTAAAAAAAAGATAATTACGGTATTATTTCCAGAAATAGATATCGCGAAATGTTAATTTTTTTTAATTTTTTTTTTTTTTTTAACTAGACCTGATTTATGAGCTCGGTACAACCGTCTTAGACTGAGGTGTGGGCGGTGAAACGTGGGGTGACACCCTCATGGGGGCGAGGGTGACACACAAGGGATTTTTTTTATATATATAATTTGACACAGTTCGCTTGAGTCCCTTTCATGACGGATCTAAGTTTAAAAAGAAAAAAGAAAAAAAACAAGAGTAGACCACAGAGTGCCATCATATCGGCTTGCCATCATATCAGCTTGCCATCATATCAGCTTGCCACCACATCGGATTTCCATCAGAGCAGGGGGTCACAAGCAATGTTCCTTTTAAGCTGCGCGGCTGCACAGCCGCGCAGCTATCTCACAGACGCCGCGCAGCAGTTTTGAGTACCGCGCAGTAAATTTCCATGCAAGTGAGTTGGCTGTAAAATTTTGTTAGAGGGAACATGAGGGAACCAGAACAGGCCGACTAGAAACAGGTCCATTGGGAAGTCTGTAACGGAGGGTGGTACAGTGAGTCTCCCGCACTGGCTGACACGAACCCTATTGCCGCCACGGGGAAGATCTATGGGAGTTAACTGTAAAATATATTTTGTGAGTACAAAAATGTACAGTTGCTGGCCTTGTCAATCAATGTTTCACTGATAAACTAAACTTTGCAAGCACAATTATTAAAAAAATATATATATATATTTCATTATAAAAATGCCAGTTCATTAATTGGGGGGTCTGAGATACTGGGCTATTCACCACCCCCCCCCCCCCC